AGGAAAGATAATAGCAGAGAAGAGATGTCAAGTATCAGGATGTAAACATTAAATTTTTCTTGTTCTTTTCTATATAAATATATATATATGTTTATTATTGTATTATTCGAAATAAATCTACGTTTCTATGAATATTTGAAAGAAGATTTATTTATTTATTTTTGTGGCCCGCCTAAAGTTAAACCTTGTTTGTTTGGCCCAAGTGTACCTATGAGTTTGACATCCCTGGTCTAGAGACTTAGTAAATAGCAGGCAGATTTTATGTTAAGCAGCATAGGTTAAAATGAGAAGTAAGATCATAATCAACATGACTCATGACAAAAGATTGGCTGTTGTCACCATTGCTGCTTGCCTAGAGAGAGACCTGCTGATTAGAACAAACCTCAACGGCCTGATGTAGGCACGGTTGGCAAGTTTTGCAAATTAGCTCGGCTCTGTCTGATGCAGTTAGTGGTGTAGTTTCGTGTAGAGTTCCAGGGGTTGTAACCCAGTTCATATACCTTAAGGTTCCAATAAGGTACTAAAGCAACAGAGGTGTTATGTTGTTTTGTATTACTTTAAGTCTCACTAGACGCAAAGAATAAGTTTCACATTCATTTTAAATTTTAATGTTTTAGCATGTGACCACAGTAAAGATTAATGAAATTCAACAACTCACTTTAATATGCAGAGATAATTTTTAAAGATAAACAGTTAGTCATAAATAATTAAATTAGGTAGTTACGATTATCTTAGTCATTAGGGATTTACATGGTCACTATTAAATTTTATCTGTTTTTTAACAATATTTGTTAAAAAGGCCCTATTAAAATCACAATCTAATAAAATTTCACAGTTTAAAATACCCGTAATTTATGACATTGACTCTTCAATGATATAAGGATAACTACACATTAAAGCTAATGTTTTGTAACAACAACATTCAACAAAATATTTAGCATCTTTTTAATTTAAAGTCTTCCCAGACATTTAAGCTAAATTTACAACGATTTCCTTCTCTTTAAGCATTTTCCCTAACAATCAGAAATTTGTCTCAATACGCAAACCAATGTTCTCACCAGTTTCTGCGTGCTTTATCTCTTAACTTGTCAACCTCTCTACAATGTACCTATGAGGGTTTACTTGATTTGGTAAAAGTTAAATAGTCCAAAACCTCTTGACAGACATGAAGCAAATTATCTCTATATCTGAAAGTAACTGCAGTGTCAGACAAAGGTTTACATAAGCCTCTTATTTAAATGGAACATACACCATAAAGGCATGTTCTGATATTAACAAAAGCAATTACAGCTCATGGTGATGTAATTAAACAAGAACAGTCAAATTTAAACTAAAAATGTGGACTAGTGGTCAAAGACTATACAATTTAATTTTAATTTAAGCTGGCTTAGTAACTTCTATCATATGAGGAAACAGAAATGGGAAATGATAGAAAAGTTCCATTTTGAGTCAACTGAATCATAAACAACTGGGTAATTTACATAATAATAACTGTACATATCTTTGAAGAATAATTTTCTTTATGTATTCAGTTTCTTTTTTCAACATTTTAGAATTTTTGGATTTAATTAAGAATTTCGGTTATTAAAAAAATAATAATAAAATTAAAGCATTTAGAATGTATAGAAAAAGCTGCTAATTTTATTTGTTTAGTAATAATTTCAGAAGAAATAAAAGAGATAAATATATGGTAAGGGCTGGTTACAGAGCTGCTGTGGCAGAATTTTTAGAATTTAGTGACACACCCAGCAACAAAATCTAGAAAGGCACTAAGCAGCACAAGCGTTTAGAGAGATGGTATCAGGTTGGAAAATGCCTAGTGCCAGCTCTGTGTATGATGCATTAAGACATACTAGATGAATCTTTTAAATGGTAAGTTTTCAATTTCTTTTATGTTAAGATAGAGATTCATAAACATGTGAAGATAAAGATTCCAGTATCAGAAGTAAAGCATTCAAATAATGTTTTCATTGTTCTTCCAGACGTTCTCCAAAAAGTAAGAAATTCATTGCAAATTTTCCGTAAAATACATCCATTATGTATCAATACAAAAGACATTTTTCAATTTGCCACATATTTCTGGAATCTTCTAGAATTATAGGTCTATAAATCTTGCTTTCAAATTCTTCTAAACTTTCCAAGCTGCAATGTCCAAAAGCCTAAAGAAAAATTATCCCTACTAATTCTGTAACAGTAAAAAGCCAGAAATATTTTAGGGGGGGGGGAAGATGGAAAAAGTGTAAAATTTATTTCATAGAGAAACCTGATGCATACTCTGAGAGTTTTGAACATTCTGAGACAATTAAATGGGAAAAGCTCTTACTATGAAAAAATTAAAGACATTAATTAATTACATAGCTAATTTTTGCATTTGCTAAGAACTGTTTGGTAAATTGTACTTTATAGCATTTTACTTTTTCATTTTTCAGATTCAAAATATTGTATAAGTTGCCAAAATGGAACTTTGTGATGTAGCCGTTCCTCAAAAGACACTAATGCCGGCTAGCTTTAAAAGGATTTATTAACAGAGCACACAGGAACGGTTACAAACAAAAGAAATATATATAAAAATGAAACTTATACCAAATGGAACATCAAACATTGAGAATAACATAACATAGTAAGCTATCATCATGGCGGCTGGAGGTCGACTGACGTTTTTTCATATCGCCACGAGATGGCGTTTAAATAAAATAGTTCGGTTACAGTTCATGACATGAATAAAATAGTTCAATTACACTAAAATAGGTCTGTTACAACTTTATAATATGACAGCGAAAAATAAAAATGTTTTATTTTAACGTTACTTTTTTAATTATAAATTTAATATATTACTAACTTTAATATATGACTCATTTTAATGAAATTCATCAATGTAATGTAATGTAAGTTAAAAAAAAAAAAAAAAAAAAAAAAAAAAAAAAAGGAAGGAAAAATTTCCAGATCTTGGAAAAAACTTTTTCTATAGAAACTGATCTTAAAATCACCAAATTTAGAACCGTTTAATAAAAGAATTCCCATCCCCAAAAGCGGAAAGCTGTTTAAAAGCTCTTCATTCGAAAAAATGAATTTCAAAATGCTTATGTTTCACTTTTTGCTTAGAAACTCTAGTATCCCACCATTTATTTATACAGTCAAAAGTCGTTAATCCGGACTCGTCGGGACTTCGGCGATTCCGGATTGACTTTTTCCGGATTATAGATCATCAGTTTATATCTGGTAAGATGGTATGCAGAAATTATAAAATTAAAAATATGAAACCGTAATTTATGAAATAAAGAACAGTTATGATCTAAAGAGTATCAAAATTTACAAAAAAAAAAAAAAAAAAAAAGCTTAATATTTATTAAACATTTCTTTCAATGTAAGTTGTTTCGTTTTTTATGTGATAATACATTTTCTTTAATTCTATAAACAGACATAATTTCTTGTTCAGTTACAAAGTTCCACTGTTCAAGTCCTATAATTGCTTGTCGAGAATACCGACTCATTTGTCAATCGAAATTTTTGCGTTTTCAATAACCTGTGTTACTTTCTTCGCTATGATAAGCGAATTATAATGACAAGGAATTTGATTTAATAAATCATATCAAAGACGGAATACATCGAGATGAAATACTACATTTAGTAAGGAATTATAAGCCAAATAAAATAAAAACATCTGCCCTGAAGATAAGGATAGTGCTGACAGATCAACTTCCAATTCATTGAGGCACTGCAGTGTTAAAGATAAACAAAGTTTAGATAAACAAAGAATATGCATGCATGTACGTTAATTCCTGGTTCTGTGCTCTCCTAACACTGGAGTTTCAGACAAAGAATCTTAGAAGTCCTTTGCTTCAGATGTTATTCTATTTTGAACTATGAAAATTGTTAGCATTGGTGTGCTTATTGCCCAGAAAAAGTCACCAGGCAGTGAGTTACAGCATTTCATTTCACCTGCAAAGACACATGCATGTGATATCAATACAATGGTTTTAGCAGATTTGATGTATCAATTGCAATGTTTGCACAACAGTAAGCTTTGGTCAGTTGCATAAAGTAGTTATAAGCTTGGCATTTTCTGCATCGATTTTCTCACATCTGTAATTTTGTAACACAGGTTAAAAATCAGTAATAATTATGTGAAATCCATACTTTAAAACATGATGTACTTTTAGAGATGTAAAAGTATTAAGGTTTCAAAATTCAATAGTTTGCCACTGGAATACACATAATGTCCACTAGGAGTTTTAAAACTTTATGAAATGCTTTTTAGCATTATCATACATTATCAGTCTGAATGGAAAGGAAGTGCCAGCTATATAAGCTGAAGAAGCATAAAAAGCATGCAAGGACTTTGAAAAGATGACAATTACATCAATATCTTTTCTTGAGGCCATGCACATTCCAGTCAAGTCATGGGGATACAGTCTCTCAAAACATAACTAAAATCTACCTTATTGTTTTTTTTTAAAGAAGTCTCAGAGGAACCACAACACATAGACAACATTTTCGATATCAATTAGGGAAATTACAGTGAATAACATTTAGGATACATGGCTACTGATGATAATATTTGAGACAACATGTGAAAAATTTGCCATACAGAGTATTGAATTATACAGTGTGTTAAAAGAACTGTAGAAACTGAAACTGGCAGAGGAAGTGATGGCATGCCAACCTTGATTGAACTCAAAAAAGCACCAGTGGTTTCACGAACATGAGAATACATTTTAAAAACTGTTATGTAACAAACACAAATACATCAGTACGGCAAATTTTTAATTATTATTTTAGGTACTTTGTGAGTAATTACCCTGCTTTGTGATAAGAAGTTACTATTTTTAAATTACATGTAAACTTTTAATATTTCATAACTGCACTGGATGGATACTGAAAAATTAATAATATTATCAAATTAAATATCAAAGAAATACGTACAGAGTAAGAACAATAAACTTTTTCAGAAAGCAGGAGAACAGCAGGATGCAATTTAAAACACAAACATAAAAACTAACCTCGATTTCCAGTGATGGAATGAAATCTTTCAAACATTTGTGAAGTTTAATGAATATTTTCTTTGTTGGAGTCGACTTCTGAAGTGCTTCAAACATACTACAGAAAGGGAAAAAAATTAATGATTTACAGATATTTTATAATTCATATATACTAAATGCTAAAATCTCCACATATGTATCAATTTATGTATATACATATACCCATCATTATATATCGTTTATATTTACATTGTTAACCATCCAGAATGCAACACCATGAAGAACAAGTGGTTCAAAGAGATATTTTAGTAGATAAATAATATTAAATACAAAGAACTGATTAAAATTACAGCCATATTCAGTATTTAAGGAAAAATCAATATTTTCTGTTAACACAATGGGTGGCAATTACAGCAATATGCCTTGGCAAAGAAAAGAAAGACTATGGATGTGTGCTTGCAGTATGTAAATCAATGCTGTTTCCACACACTGTCAAAAGTTCATCTGGTTCAGTTGTAGGTAGAACATGTCAGGCCATTTGTTTGCCAATCATAACGAGACAATGGATGAGGCAAGGTAGCAGTACAACTGGCCTGTTTCACAATGTTTAATTATGTTTTGTAAAATTTATGTTGTTTAAATTTTAGAATCAAGACAATCAAAAGTTGCCAAAATGAAAGGTAACATATAGTAACATTTTAAAATATAACAAAGAAAAATAAAAACATTTTACTTTAATGGCATTTTTTTTGAAAAATTGTCATTTTAATGACATTACAGTGATGCCATATTTAATACAAAATATATATCATGAAATACGTAAGCATCCCATTCAAAACATCCAAAAAATGGTATTAAAACTCCCAAAATATTTAGAAGTCACAAATCTTAAAAAAAAAAAAAAAAAAAAAAAAAAAAAAAAAAAAAAAAAAATTCACATTCCAAAAAGGATAACATTGTAAAATCCAAATAGTTACTTTATTTTCTGCTAAGACTATGTACATTAAATACAGATCTGAAGAAGAAACTGCCACATTGACACAATTTTTGGCATGTATACAAAAAATTGCATAATAATAATAATAATAATAATAAAAGATTTCACATGCCAGGTTCATTTTGAAAGATATGATTTTTGTGCTAAGGAACTGTCAACAAAAAGACAAGATTATCACTTCAATATGTTAATATGACAAATTGAAATGAATGCTGTAACAGTAGTTACTACTATCATAGCTTACATTTCAATTTATTACTCTAACATTAAATGTTTTATTCAACAATGATATTTAAGATACTTAGTGGACATACTTACCTGGACATTATTTGTTTCAATTGTTGAACAGCAGGATACAGATTGCACATTAATCGAGAAAAATCAGCTGCTGGAGGCAACACATCTGGCTTCGCATAGTCAAAATCATGAGGTATTTGGCAGAAATCCATGACCATTCCACTGAAAAATATATTTAGAAATAGTCTGTATTATTAACAATCAAGAACTAAAATAGACGATGCTTAAAATATTTACCACAATGTTATAAACCTCTCAACATTTCATATGTGCCATGCCAAGCCAATTATAAAGATATCTGAACAAAAACAAGTGTGTGTGTGGGGGGGGGGGGGGCAGAGAGTTATGCTTCCAATACAAAAAAGTTAAATTTAATACAAAAGCTTAAAAGTGCAAAAACCTATAGCTTAATTAGTAGATATAAATAAATACATCTATTTTAAAATGTTACGAATAAAGGCTACATTTCATAATATATATGTACGTGTGTACATATACATACACTGGTGGACCATTACTAAGGGCGGATGACAGTAAACATAATATGGAAGGCAAGGAAATGTGGAAATTAGCAGAAGTGCAGGATACAGTAAGACATGTTGCACGTATGCAAATTTTGGATTTCCGAAGTTGTTCATCACGACAGAACTGATAAGAGATATAAAGGATTTGACATGTATATACCATTGTTATTCAAAAGTAAAATTTAATGGGAAAGAATCAATTGAAGAATTTGCAATTTTCAGTATGTCTCCACGACACCACTTGGATGATTTTATGAGTGAGGATTGAAGAAGGACTAAAAATAACAGATGTTGTTAGGGGTTCAATGTCAGCCACAATGCTGTTTCAAGGCTTTGGAAATCATTTTAAACAAACGAAATGTGTAGCACACATTACTGGGGAGTGGTCATGTTCGTAGAACAAGGCCTGCAGAAGATAAGTAAATATTGCTATTAATAAAAAGGAACCGGCACGGCACAGCACAGCCACTGAAGTAGCAAATGGGTAACTTGCTGATACTGGCAAGCGAATACCTCGAAAAGCCGTAGCCAGACAATCAAGGAGGATTATACAGCAACCATCCTGTTGGTTCCTTCCATCATCTAGACATCATCGTTCTGCCCCTTTGCAATGTAATGGTGTGGTCAGTATTGCAATTGGAAGGAAGACGAATGGGCTTTTGTCATATTTTCAGTTTGTTCACAGAAAATATGTTCAGTGTCTTGTCTGATTGTGGACAACAACTGATGTGGCATGAGAGTGATACTGCATATAGTACAACAAACAGGGAAGGGATCGAAATCCTTTATGTAATGCCATGGTATGGACTGGGATCTTGATCAGTGGCCTTACGCTGCTCTATGTGCTTTTAACTGAGACTATGACTGGCCAATGATACATTAATGATGTTCTGCTGCCACATGTTTGCATGTTCTGTGAGGATATTCAACACCTCATCCATGCACTGACATAGGAATGGGATACATCACTCCAACAGCTGCTGGATAATGTTGTATAAAGCATCACACAATATGCTGGAATCTTGCTTTCCCCTCCATGGTGGCCATATCCCGTACTGAAATCTTATGCCTGTGGATGTTAACTGCATTTTTTTCACTTTTACCTATTCAGAACAAAATTACCAAATACCTTGAACACTTTTCGAAGCCTTCTGAATTTCAGAGCACAATACATTATCTTTATTTCAATGGCCCAGTATTCTGGTATTATTTTATTTCACTTGGCATCCAAACACACTTACTTTTTAACACGCTTGTGATCCGTCCTTAGCAACTGTCTACCAGTGTATATCATCTACTTTAAAATGTTACAAATAAAAGCTACATTACATAATATATGTGCCTATGTGTGTTTATATATATGAGAATAAAAAGATTAGCTGAAATCAAATAAAATGTACTCATATTTCTATGTTGATATAAAATTACATTGCAAGAGTTCACAAAAATAGATAGTTGAAAGCGATTCCTTCATATTTAATGACTAATTTTCTTAGGCAAATTAAATTGTAATAAGGCCCCATCATAAAAACATTAAAACAGTACAACTTACCACCTATTGAACTACAAAACTTGGCCCATTAGAGGACATTATTCTGTTAATTACTTACAGAATAATATCCTTAAGGTAAAAAATAAAAGTTTAAAACAGAAAGAGTCTATTTATGTACAATAAAAACATTAGTGCATTCTTCTTAAAACTTTATTAATATTTAATTTAACATTTGTAAATTATAAAAAAAATTCTATCACTCATTGTGTAGATGCATGATCATGATACAACCTCTAATACAAAATACTAAAATCTAAAACATACATCATAACATCATACTAAATCTAAACATAAAATTTGATGGCTCTAGGTACCATTGTTTTACCAGGAATGCAAGAAACATACACACATTTATGCAGATTCTTCATTATTTAATTTCTTTAAATATAATACAGGGCTCTAATATTTGAAGGCAACAATTTAAAAAGTGATTTACCATTTACAGTTAACCAACACAAAATGTCAAAATGAAATTAATAGCCCTTCAAATAGGCAAATTTCCCCTTTGGGTTAACAATATACATGTTTTGCATTAAAATCAGCATGGGAAATTTAAATATATGAATGTTTACAATAATGTGCATCAACTCTATGCAGCAAATCAAATTATTTCTTAGTTTGAGCTATTTTGGACTGAATCTCTCACATACAAAACATGTTTGTCTAAATATGTAAACATAAAGTTTCTATAGGTCAGTAAAATAGTTAGACATACGCACAAAAAATTCCAAAATGTTCTATAAAATTTAGATTTAAATACAAAATGAATCCGACAAATCATTTTGATGGCATTTTAAATACATCTTCATAACAGTTTATTTTGATGGAGAAAATATGTGCAGCAGCAGACAGCAAGCAGGTTGACGATATAAAAGCCAGAGAGAATGTGATGTGTCCAAGACTGGTTCAGGATGATTTAATTTCAGGTAAATTTTTCTGTTCTTAAAGAGTGAAATTTATTTGGGGTCAAAATAAAAATTTAAAAAAAAAAAAAAAAAAAAAAAAATTGGAAAACCAAATTTTGAAATGTTTGCTAAAGTAAAATCTGTTATGCCATGCAGAGCTATCATCTTATTTATAATTAAAAGGTGGAGGGGAGAACCACATTCAGACAAGTTTAGACAGTTATTACCTTAAGAAAGACACTTCAAAAATCAGTACTGCTGCTCCATTAACATGCCAATACTTCCAGCTCTCATACAGTCTTCTCATCACAAACCTCCCTTTTACTTGTCAATGAGTCTTCAAAAGGTTAGTCAGACATTGATCGACAGCATTAAAGCAGAACAACATCAAGCAATGCAAATGCTTTAATGCGAATCAACATCAAGCGACACAAAAACATGCCTTAAAAACAACAATCCAAGGTATGTAACTCTACAGTAAAATAATTCTTTATTTGTTTTACCCATTTTAATTGTTTATTTGATATTACTTACAATTCTTATTTCAAAAACAGATTAGGAGATAAATATAGTGTACCTGATTACATTTTACAAACGAATTCATGTCATGAGCGGTTTTTCAGAACATAATTCTTTTGTAAAGCGAGAAGCATCTATAATATTAATCCTTTTCTAAATCCTATATACCATATTTATTTCAGTATTTCCCCATTTAAACACATGATGAATATTATGCAAAATTTAATTTAAGCTCTTTAAATTTTACACATACAAGATAGCTGTCTATATGCTTCAGAGAAAAGCTTAATGTTGAGAACAGCAGGATTTCCATGGAAGCCAGTGAACATTTCCTGTATACCCATCTGTATTTTATTTTTGTTACTATACAACCAAACTTTTTTTTTTTTTTTTGCTGTTGTTCTCGGTGTTGATGATAGACTTGGTAAAAAATAGTGTTTGTTACTTGCAGAATTTTCCTTTGGAATATAAGTTGAATGTCAATATGAAAATGTTGTTGCCATCTATAGAGTAAAAAAAAATCTCTGGCCCACAGTATTGCAACAGTGCCTTAGACACTTTGTTTTCCTGCTGAGGGTTCCTAATGGCCTCGTACAGACTTTCAAAATTTCCCTCTCCATGGGTAGAGGGTCAGCTTCATGAGCCCCTAAGGAACCCAAAAAAAATCAAAGGTCATTAACACAGAATTAGAAGATGAACTGTGGTGTGAGATAATGTGTTGTGGTACCCACTGAACCATGTTACCATTTTCTGGTTTCGGGTATACTTTTTCGATTTGTAAAATTAATGTTTTCAATAAATTCATCATTGTGTTTTCATGACTTCAGTCTTTCATCCCCTGAGAAGCAAGTATTCATTTTTGATTAATTAGAAGGACTGTTCAAGATGGAAATAATGTTGTACACTTTTAAATTGAAAGCATAATTTCTATAAAGAAAGGAATTTCTTTCTATCCAATTCCAGGGCATAATGGATCAAAGGTCATTTAATGAATTTTGAATTCTGCATCTTTGCAATGCATAGGAAATGAAACGTTATCTTGCATCAGTATAGATTGAAGGGTATATTGTACAGCATTTGCTGTCTTATAAATTTCAGTTACTACTCTGCATATAGTTATTTTGAAGTGTCCATCATTGGACTTAAAAACTTTAATGTCCGACTTAAATACTTAAATTTATTTTGTATGTTGGGAGAATAAACTGTACATCAATGTGCATTAAAAATTTACTTGCATGTTTATACATTTTTTTAATCATACATCATTGTATCTTAAAAGAATTTATTTTATGGTTCATCACTATATATAAATTCATGGTAAAATACGTATCTGTGAAAATCACATTGTGACACTGCTTGTAGCTGTATTCATGAGCTTGTAAAAGTCAAAATTATTTATTTGCAATTGCTTTATTTTTATAAAAGCTGGATTATTATATATTATTATTATTATTATTTTTTAATATTGTAAAAGTCACACACGATTCAGAGTAAATCTCGTACTGCTCAGTGTTTTTGAAAAACTGAAATTAAGTGTTCATCACTGGATGCACACTGCGCCAAAAAAAGGGGAAGACAATTCTATATCTCTTATTTCACTGGGCCGGTTTACGAAATTCAACTTGCGTTTTTCATGTCTCGAAAGCTTGGCTTAAGAAATGCATTAGATTTATATATAGCATAGTTCTAATATAAGTATCTTGACGACAAAAAAAAAAAAAAAAAAAAAAAAAAAAAAGACTTTTTCTAAAATGACATGTCAATTCTTTTCCACATTTGGATTCTAGGACTCAAATTATACCAAAATGACAAGTTTTGTAGAAATTGCATGAGTAGTTTTAAAAAATTAGCTCTCAATATTTTAGCTCCTCAATGTTAATTGAATTTCATATAGATTTATTAATATCTCTTCTTTTATTAAACTTATTTGATTCTTCCTTTGATATTTCGAAATTTAGATTCATTCCAAATAAAATTCATCTATTTCTTATGATTTATTTTTAAAATTTGTATTTTTAAATAATTTTTATAAATTTTTTGAAAAAAATTTTGAATTATAATCTCTATAAAAATTTTACCATCATCTTAAAATAGATCTATTTCTAAGCACACCTTTTTTTTTTTTTTTTTTTTTTGCAGTGTGTACTTTGATTGTGATATTGGCTTTAGAAAAAGTACAGTAGGCTACTACAGTAGTATATCATTTTGTGTTATGTAAGGGTAATTCTAGATAAAATCTTCAAAATAGCAATTTATTTTCTAAACTTTAATGTATTATGTTTCAGTATTTTCATAAAAAGGCCAATTGAAATCCATCACAGGGTATTGTGAACTGAACATATGACATGTGTGTTAGTATATGGAATACAGATGAATTTCATCAATGAAAAAATTTGTATTATGGTAAAATCTTTAACTATTGGTTTAATCCATCAGTGGATTTTAAGTGCTGCAAATTATATGTCAATATATGGCATAGAATTATTTTCTTAATCTTTGAAAAGATATCATGTTTGCATATTATTGCCTTATATGTTCATCAATGAGCATGAATTTAAGAAGACCAATCATTCCATGATTATGATTTATAGCCTTACGAATTATAACATATTATATAGTACATTATTTTTGTAATTCATCAATGAACATAAATATAGCAATATCTATTGTTGTTGTTGTCAGTGTTGATAATGGAACTAGAACAAATAATGCTTGTTATTTGCAGAATTTTCTGCTGGAATATCAGTTCAATGTCAATAAAAAAGTATTTCTGATTAATGCTGCTACCTACAGAGTTAAAAGAAATCCCTGGCTCACAGTATCCACATATTAACAGAGCATATGGTCCCAATTACAAGAGAAGGGGAGGATTTCTGCATAAGTTCTTTATACATACACATGTGTATCCATGATATTACTGTCCACACGTATTAAAACATATACATACCTGGGGTGTAAGGGTCTTTATAACTTTTTCATATACATAAACTGGATCCCCAAATTCACATAATATTCAGTTTAATTTATTTTTAATATCCAATATGTGAACAATTCTCCATGTCAAAATAAATAGAAACAAACACAAAAGTTCAGCCTTTCACAGTTAAAGAAACAGAACACATAAAACAATTAGATACAAATAGAATTTCATTCACAGACATGTTACTGCATACACAACTTACCACAGTCGATTTATAATAATCCAGTTGAAGTCAAAAGCATTTAGGACATTCTGATATTCAGTGTTAGAAATGGAACTGTAAGAAATATATCAAGGATAAATAAAAAAATTGTTTCACAGTCATATTCAAAATAACAAATTTTCCAGAAGCATCAATAAAAAAATATTTTAATTAAATATATATTACAACTTAACTTAAATGTCAGTTACTAATGTTATAAAAGATACCATAATTATTTTTTGCATTTATAAATGCTTTTCTTTAAGTGAAGTTTGTGTCTCAATAAGAAATGGTCATCACTTCAACATTACTTAAAAGAACAAAGAAATTAAGAAAATCAACTTTTAAAATGAAATGACTATATAAATTTATCGAATGGTTTAAAAAAAAAAAATTTGGGTTCATCAAAAAATAATTCTGAAAGGCAATCAAGTTTTAAATTCTTATGAGGGCTACACAGGGCCCACCAGCGGCCGAGTGGTAAAGTCTCTGAATACTGGTAGTTTGATCCGAGGTTCGAATCCCGCAAACTGGCTGGCTGCATGGGCGTTTTCGTGGTTTTCCCTGTGTCTAATGGGTATACGAGGCAGTTCCCTTAGAAAGTCCTCCACGAAGGAATCCCTCCCCTTAGGCAGATAGCCCTAGTGTGCTTTGCCATAATTAAATAAACCAAACCAATATGATACAACACATTGTGGTGAAAGCATGCGACAGGTCATTAATAAAAATAACCAAATACTAAAAAGTGATTAGCTGGCAACAGCTAAACAAACCCCAGTTGACTATTTATTTTAGATGGAGACAGCCACATTTTTTTGTATGTTCATAAATACTTCATGTTCGGCAGTTTTGACTGTTCCAAGTGCTGCACAGCGCTAATTTGACATCACTTTCATTACCAGTCATTAGCAAGTGCAAGAAAATACCCGTTGCTAAAAAGCAAAATTTTTAAAAATTCTGCTGGCTTTGTCAGCACAATGGATGATGATTTAGAAATGATAAAACACATTTTCATGATTATTAGGGTATGCTAACATAAAAAAAGAGAAAAAATTTATTTATATCAGAAGAGTATTAATTTGTTTCTTGACAAACGTTAGAAGCAGGGCTGTACAGTCGGAATCGGGTAGATTTTTGGGTAAGAGGAGTCAGAGTTGGAGTCACTAAAAAACACACCGAATCCGACTCCAGTTTTTGTTGAACAGTTTGAATTTGAAATGAAATTAAGTGAATTGAAAAAAATTAATGACAAACTGAGTTAATATTTTTATTTATGGATTATATACATTAATAAATAATTATTTTCTATTTCATTGACATATTAGTAAATAAATATAAGGGAGCAGGATGGATGTGATATTTGCCATTATTGACTAAACTGATTCATTTAGTTACTAATCTCATTAGTGAATTAAGGTAAGCAGCAAGAACTCCCAAAGTTGATGCCATTGTTAGGAAACAAGCAGGTAAAGGAGCAACGCAATGGAGAAGTACATATTTGATGATATAGTGGTTGTTAGGATTAAGAACTTTTTCAGATGATGTAAATAACCCTAATATTTCACTAACAGAAAGACTGTGGAATGATCTTGCAGAACTGGAAATCCTTCTTTCAACACTGTATATAGCCACAAAAAAAAAAAAAAAAAAAAAGTTACAATCTGAAGAATTAACAGGAAACAAGAATGCTAGAAGATGTAGATAACTTTAATGTTTCACTAACAGAAAGACTGTGGAATGATCTTGCAGAATTGGAAACTCTTCTTTCTATAGCATATATAGCCACCAAAAAGTTACAATCTGAAGAATTAACAAGACTGGAAGAATGCGATGTTTGTTCTTTCTGACATGGAGGGTTTATTGCAGAAGGAATAATTTCTTCAATGAAGAAAAGATAAACTAGTTTGCTAGACAATAAGATCGCGCTGGGTTCAATATATGTAGATCCAAAACACCGAATTTCGTTGGATGACAAACAAATTAAAAAGGCAAAGAAAGCCATGTATGAACCATTAAGAATGATTATTAATTTCATTAAAAATGAAATTATTCTCAGAACAACTGGAGTATTCAAATCAGAACAGTCAAACTGCAGATATTGCAATTCATATTCTATCATCTTCTTCCATTGATGAATTAGATTTTGAGAAATATTTGGATAATATTGAAAAGGCTAAGGCAAAGCGAATGAAAATAAAGAACCAAGAGCCTTTAGATATAAAAATGAAAAAATACAAACAAGATTTAGACACGTCCTTTGAAGAAATAAATAAATATGATTGCTCTTGCAAGACACCTCTTTCAGAACTTACAAAAATCCACCCTGAAAAGTTAAAGGAAGTAGACATAACAGTAACAGCTCTTCTTCAAGTCAGTGTGGAAAGACTCTTTTTAATTCTGAAGTTTATCAAATCGGATCTATGGTCCTCTAACAAAGAAGATCATGCCGAAATTTTACTGTTTCTTAGAAATTACTACTGCCAGTTTTTCCATTTCATAATAAATGCTAATCAATATAAAAAATTTGCTATGCATCAAATTTTATCTGTAGCATCTATTACTTCTTTTATATTAAAAAAATAAGCCGTACCCATGTGTATATGTTTACATACATATGAAGGAGTCAGAGTCGGAGTCATTAAAATTCCAGGACTTGGAGTCGGTCATTTTCTCTACTGACTCCACAACCCTGGTTACAAAGGAGCAAAGTGGATTCTTCTAACAAATCACCAGAAGATTATCATCGACTATATTGTATTTTACTGAAATAAGATAAAAATGTGATAATTAAAGAGAAAGAAATAGTAGAGGTATTTTTGTTCGCATGCATTGCCATGACATGATTGCACTCAGAATTATTACCCATGCAGAAATTGCATGATATCTAAGTGAAATTATGAAGGAAGAAACTTTTGCCTGTTTAATCTCAATGCTGCCTATTTGGAGGAGGAAAATATAGAAAATATGCCTGACTTTTACAATCATACTTGTTTAAAAGGGGAGGGGAAGAATTTTAAAATTTTTAGTGTAATTTATAATCAGTATTAATTTTAAAATGTTTTGAAAAATATATTTTTAGATATGGAAAGTTTGAAATAATAAAAATGCAATAGTTGAAAATAACCGAAGAAATTTTGAAAAATTACCAAATATTTGTAAATTATATTAAAAGATCAGAATAAACTTTATTTAAAAGGTTTTTTCTTATTCTATTCAATGATGCAAACAGTGAAATTCTAGAAATATTTGTTTGTTTTTTAAGCAAAGATGCAGGAGAAACATCTACACTACCCCTCAAAAACCTACATTCATTAAACCCAGATCAACATTTAGAAAAAAACGACTTGATCACTTGAGCACCATATGGACAAACTTTGTGTCTGGGCCTATCTCTGCAACACCCACTCCCATAGGTGCACACTTACCTACACACAAAATCTTTTTTACTATTATAGAAATGCAAAAATCTCCATTAATGGTAGAATGATATCACAACAAGTTTTTAAAACATTATGTGTGCCTACAGGTTCATAATACATTGACTGAACATGGAATTTATGATAGCTTAATAAAATTTATTTACCAAAAGGAACACTTTCCAGTTCTGGAATTTCCACAAAAATATTCATATAAGTCTTCCCAGTATCACAGAGTACAATCAGTAATTGCACTTAAAACTACTAAGAATGTTTAACACAACATTATGTAAAGTACATCTAAAGAGCGAAGCTAACATGGATATCACAATACTCCAAATTCAACTTTGAACTACCAACTGAGAGGTGATGCTCTCTTCCATCTTGTATAGTTTCCACCTGACCACCGAGAAATCTCTAGTAAATTCCATTTCTCAAAATTACTGGTAGGCAACATGATTAAAGTTACATCTAAGGGCCGGGGGTACAGTTAAAGTTGCATATAGTGATCATTTATTCAATTACAATACCTATTACAGTCATACAGGGACCAGACCAAAATGTTGCTAGGTTTGGTAACTTTCTCTGATTTCTCGCAGAATTTATAAACAAAAATTAGTTGCCACCAAAATTAATATATCTCACCAATTTAGCCTGATAGCCATTTACTCAGTGTTAAATAGACTTGCCTTTTTTTTTTTCCTTAATTTTCTGGCAAAGCACTGCTTCTTTAGATTTTCATATTACATTATACAAAAAAAGAATTAGGATTTCACATATTTCCCCAAATTTATTTATACATATACAAAATTTGTAACCATATGATTAAATACGTGTTTTATATCTTAAATTTTTAAGGATTAATTCTTCAACTAGGAAGCCTACTGTAATGTTTTCGTTTAAAAATGCTTCTTCATTGTATTTTCAAGTAAAATTTCTTTCAAAGAGGGACATTCAATTTCTGATTTAAAGTACCTTTTAAGGATTAAAATATCAATGCTTATTTGGCAAGTCATGAAAGAAGACAACTAAAGTTTGCTTAAAAAAAATAAGAACTAATAACGTTTGAAATGTGTTAAATATCTTCATTTCAAATCAATGGTAATCAAAGGTTGGATTTCACTAATTATCAACACTGGAATTCCTATTTTGAATTATTACTTTGACAACATTGATCAAGAATGATGTCTTAAGCACCATAGGGGGCCCACCACCGGCCGAGTGGTAAAGTCGCTGAACACTGGTAGTTCGGTCCGAGGTTCAAATCCCGCAAATGGGCTGGCTGCATGAACGTTTTCGTGGTTTTGCCCATGCGTAACATGTATACAAGCCAGTTTCCCTTAGAAAGTCCTCCAAAAAGGCACCCTCCCCTTAGGCAGATAGCCCTAGTGTGCTTTGCTGTAATTAAATAAACCAAACCAAACTTAAGCTTCATAGCTGCAAATTTCATTTCACTTTTGCCTTACAAAAGCAACTTTGGGAGCTACACAGAACATTAACTGCTTATAAAGATAGCATGGAAAGCTTCCGTAACAGAAAAAGTATCAAAGAAGCAACAATTTTTAATTTTAACACAGTTATTATAATGAATTAGACAGTACTTATACTATTTATATCTTAAGATAAAGAAAGCACTTATGCATAGAATAATAAATTATTTTAACATTTATTAATCAATAACATAACAGGGATATGTAACTTGCTTAGACACCCAATATTTTCTTAGCAGCAAACAGCTAAGTTAACCATTTAATAATGATCCTGCAGTAATTTCTATACCACAGCTGTATTTGCTACAAATAAATGAAATAAATTAGAGCTCAGTGTTGTCTTCCTTAACATATTGATTTTGAGAATAAAATTGTACATACATACCATATATATATATATATATTGATATGATCTGTCTCCTGCCTGCTCAACAATTATTCACTAATGTAAATTAATTTAGTCTTAAAAATTTATTAAAAAAAATTTTTAGGATTAATTTTTTGGAATATATATATTTTATTCTTGGTTTTAGATACTTGCACTTAATTTACATATGCTCTCAATTTAAATGATATTGTAAATTAGTTTGCAGGAACAATTAATCATTTATTTCATATTTAAAATTTAAATTTTAATTAACTATTATTAATTAAAAAATAAATTTTATACGAATAGAGAATGTTTGTTAAATTCAAATATATGTATATATATATTATTTATTTCATATTATATTCTAAACTGTACCTTAAATTAAGCAAGAATATAAACATACTTCTCAATTTCTCTCTTTTTCTGAAATAAGTCTGCACATGTAGCTCTTAGATCTTGTATCTTTTCAATGCATACAGTAATTAAAGGCCATCTTCTCTTAATTTGGCAGAAAACATCTTCAATGGCTGTCAGAATACTTAAGCATTCATCGCTATCACCAAAAAAACCTACATAAAATGAACACGAGTGTAAGACTCAAATAAATCAAATTCTTAGTTATATAATAAACCAGTCGTGACCTATCTTTAACTCAAGGGCAGCCAATTTAGAAATTAAAAAATTTTGGTGAGCCAAAATTGTATATTACAGTTTTAGTTTTCAGTTATAAATAAATAAAATATGCAAACAATAAAAATGTATGCAGTAATATGTTAAAGAAAAAGTAAAATTATGTACTATTTATTAAAAATCCAATAAGATGCAACTTGTATGCATGTAAAACACATTTGATGTGAAACTTGACACTGCATGTCTTCATCAAGTTTACTGTACTCTAGAACAGTGGTTCTCAACCTTTTGACTAATGTGTACCATCCAAGCAAAAATTGAAAACCTATAGTATCACCACTACGAAGTACTACTACTGCCAGCACTCTTGAACAAAGCTCAGATTGCATAAATTTACAAGTGTTAGAGAAAAAACTTAATCAGGATGTTGGGGTTTTAATTTTTGAATTTTTAATAGTTACAAATACTTCGCTTCTTTGTGTACCATTTATTTTTCTCTTGCATAACACCAGTTGAGAAACCCTGCTCTAGAATATAAATGCTATGGATAAATTCATGCAGTCATTTGGACGTTTGTTATCCTGGATTCGAAACTTGATTTTAACAAGTTCTTTGCTGAAGAAAGTTAAGTTATTTATAAGTTGATCCGAAACAAGAGTTTAACCTTTGCAAAATGTCTTTTAACAGTGGATACTTTTTTCTCATCTGCAAGAATCCAAAAGTCTGTGATAGTCTTGTTTTTAATAGTAGGTGAGACTGAATAATCCATTATTTGGATTTCTAGATACAGAGAATTTTTATTTTACATATTTGTAACCTATTGCAATATTTTAAAAATATTAGTACCAAAAAATGGATTTGAAATGAATGAAGCAACGGATTGAATTTTATGAAAATCAGAAAATCTAATTTTGAAATTATTTTAAGCTTGATGAAATTTTCAGAATGTTTAATTGTTTCAATTTTCTTATATTTCTTTGACATAGTTCTCCAAATTTGTAAGGTGGCAAAAGTTACAAAAGTTGCATTCCTTTTATTTGAAGGAAAAAAATTCAGAAATTTAATTTTGATTTAAATATGTTTATAATTCCTTCCAATAATAGTCTTTTCTTTACCCTGAAGTTTAAGATTTGGTTTATTCATTTTGGGTACATGTGTGTTTTCTTGTTTTTCCCCATGTGCAACGTGTATATGTGTCAGTTTCCCTTAGAAAATCCTCCACGAAGGCATCCCCTCCAATAAGTAGATAGCCCTCTTGAACAAAGTGCTTTACCATACTTAACTAAAACAAACCATAGAAGTGAGCTTTTTGTATACCTGTATGAAGCCACCAGATCACCTACTTCATTCAGAACTTTGAAAATTTATTTCATGTTCATTGGCATATGTTTTATGCAGGCTAAGGAAAGAGGATGATGGGGATGCTGTAAAATAGCTAGACATTGCCCAGGAAAAATACTCATAAGTTTCAGCAAATGAAAATGCAGCATTCAGTTCAATTTGAAGCAATCCACTGTGTCATCAATGTTGGCAAATGGAATACAGAGAGCAACGTTGTGCAAAATAGCGTCACGGCCGGAAGCCCCATGATAAAGATCTATCTTTAGAGGGGCTTTGGTCAGGCCTTTGAATATGTGCTGTAACTGAAATATGACTTTTCCATTCCCATCTTCGCACCTTCTTGAATTCACAAGGCTGAAATGGGACCAAACGTCCAATCCAAGCTATGGGTTGGGCATTCCTGTACTAATATTCAAGTTTGATTTAATTTATTTGATTATGACAAAGCACTCACGGGTTATCTCCCTACTAAACAATCAAGAAGACGGATGATGAAGTTCTGTATGAAAACATATCTCATAAATCTGCATATAAAATTTTCATAAAGGTTAATTCTTTATAGCAATTTTCTTCAAAAGCTATTTGATACGAATAAATGCATATTGAAATGTGAAAAGATTAATGATCACAAGCTGATCTTTTAAAATAATTTCAGTTATTTTCAGTTTTAATTTTTAATAATTCAGTTTAAGGTCATAAAGCTGTTTTATAACCTGTAATGAACTTTTATTGTCTCTAAATATATACTGATAAAAATACTGGCAAGCAACAAAAAACTTGCAAACAGTAATTTAATAAAACACAAGTCTCACAATTTCAGAGGAGCTATTCTATCCCATTCCTCCCGAACAGCTTTCCAGAGACCTGTTAGGGTTTGGGACAACGTTTGGATAATGCAGTTTTTAAAAGTCTGAAAGCACAAAAATCCATAGGTGACACATCAGAAGATTTAGTAGGGATATCAGTGAAGGGTATGGCCTTGATACCAGTTTTTTGTTCCATTTCTTTTAGGAAATTTACAGCGGATTTTGATGTGTGACTGCTAGCTTTGTCCTGATCGAGCCTCACAGATTGATGGCACTGTGGGTAAAGCAATGGTATTTCATTTAGAAAAAATGGTGATAAAATATGTTCCTGATAGTATTTGCAGTTAATCTTGACATTTTTTTGCACTCTCTTTATATTTAACTTGCCATTATAAGAAAAACCAGCAACAATCATGAATCTCTTAGAAAAAGTTTCTTTCGATTCTTTGAACCATGTACTTAAATTTTTTTCTCCCCTTTTATGATAATAAATGGCTCTTTTTTGTTACAATCATTTTAATACACCCATGCTTCATCTACTGTGACAATTGTTTTACATTTTTCTTTGGATAAGTGTTTCTCATATAGAATTCTGCAGCGTATCCTGCGTTGAGCGATATGCTTTGGAAGAAGATGATGCACATTGCGTTTTTTCGCTTTCTTAAGATTTAAATCAACATTTATCATTTTGTTTACAGTGGACACCAAGCATTTTAATGATTTTGCAACTGTCCTTTGACTAGGGGGATTTTCTTTTAACATTAAACAACGGACCTTCTGCAATAGTCAAAGATGTCCGTTTTTTCCTGGATACTTGTTTGGAATTTTTGTCCCCCTTGAGGCTCCAATTTGAAGTTTTTTCCCTTTCTTGTTGATGATATTACCTATCGACACTTTAGATATCACAAAACCATGACTCTCACATCGTTTTTGGATAACAAAGTATGCATATTTCTCTTCGGAAAGAGCATAAATGTAGCCTTCGAACCACTGCTTTGTTAAATTCGCCATTTTGAATAAAAACAAAACTTTCAAGCCACAGACAATAATTTTGACTTTTAAAAACATAGTACAATCGCAATTACTTTTTTTGCAGCAAACAATTTTTTATTACCGCTTACCAAAATCGTCTAAAAAAATGTGCGAACAGCCTCTGTAAAACATATCTATCTACGTGTAAGTAATTTTATTATTATATTTACTCGACAAAGGGAAGTGTCACCTGTATAAAATCCATGTAAATTTCCATCATGTATATAGAATAATTCCTAAACTACTTCACAGTTCAGAAAATTTTGTATATAATGAATTTAATATGGTGAATTAAAGCCAAACTTTTATTTCAATCAAAGAGATAGAAGTACTCTATTTTATTATGATTAGGAAAACATTTGTGCGTGCTAAACAGTGTTTTAACTGTGAATTAAAAGCAAGGTTTCAAATCATTTAGTTAAATTTTGATTTCTTCGATTTTACATAAATTAACTTCATTCTTACTTGAAATTTCACATTTAATCCTAATAATTATTATTTATAAAAACTTTCAGGAAGTCATAACTATTTTGGATTTCTTGAAAATGTTCACTCTTTGTAAGTCAACATTCGTCTTGTGGGTTTTATTTTGTAAAGCAGTTTATTAACTGGTAGCTGCCTATTCAGGCAGGAAACCATTTGTGCTCCTTTTCTTTTGTCCCAGCTGAGAGGAAAAAGCAAGGGGGAGAGTGGACAGCCATTAGAGGTTGCTGAGAAAGAAATAAAACTGAATTTTAGATATTTTTATTTATTAGAAAATAACAATATCTGAAATTTCGCTTGTAACGGAAGTTAAAAAATTTTTGAATCATTTTTATCTAAAGATTTAGCTAGAATTTCAAATATTTAAAAAATTTTCCAATAACTGGACAATGAAATATTACTGAAGATGATTTGAAAATATTTTAAAATCATTTTAAAGAAATAATTCATTATTTTAGCCGTAGAACTGCACAATGGGAAACTATGCTAGTTCTTGATTGGATAGTGTGTTTAGAAAATTTTTGACGATCTAATTAAGCATGTCTGTTATATTGAAGCAAAACTACCATTTAAAAGTAAAGCTATTGAACTATTTCTAATAAATTAAGTTATTACATATATTAAAATTTATACATAAGTAATACTTTTCATTTGAACATTTGTATGGTTGAAAATACCTTTCAAATAGTTTAAACAATGGAAGATTCTGAACTCAAGAACAAGAGGATTTAAGATTAAAGCTTACAAACCATAGCCCAGCATTGTAAGAAAAGTAACCTTACATATTAAAAACAAATTTTAATTCCATAAAAAATTTTATGTTACTTGATTAACTCTAAATGCTTTTTAGAAAAGAGTTCATATTACTTTATTACAGTTATATACAAAATCTTTTAATAAATCAGATTTATAGAGCATTCAGTAACCAAATTTCACTAGAATTTAGTTTCTAAAAATTATTACGGCTCAACCCGAGAGGTCACTGGGAAGAAAAATTCAGCATTTAGTTTATTAAATACTTTAAGCTTTGTCCATAAACATAGAATAAAAAAATAATATGAATTATTTTAAAACATAGAATAAAAATGCAAAATGGAAATCAACTGCTTTCTGGTTTATTCCTAAGGGTTTTTGTAAAATTAATTACTTTTTAATCACCACAAGAAAGGGCGTGTTTTCTCCTAGATCACCCATAAGGTCACAGAAAAACAAACTATTTCATATTTCAAAAGTTCACAAAAGACATTAGAATAGTGATATTGCTTGATTACAACCTG